TGATAAAATAAAAGGTTCACACTTTGGGCATTATCAAAATATCACATCTGGGAAACCATCCTAAGGAAAGGATGTAAAATTTACAAAATGCACAAAGATGTCCTTGGCACAGTTATTTATGAAAGGAGATACTGGAAACAACTAATATCCATCATTTCGGGGATGGTTGTGAAAATATGATTACAATGATTTTAGTAGTTTTCAACCTTGTGTAGGATCACGAGTTACTTGAGAAACTTATTAAAATGAAGATTCCCAGCCTCTACCCCTCTACCCCTAGAGATTCTGATTTACTGGGTTTGGGATGAAGCCAAAAATCTGCATTTTTACTATACCCTGTGTGATTTTAATGCAGATGTTTTCCAGTTAAACATTTGAAAAAACTGATGGACTTGATGGGATTTTGCACTTGAAATGATGTTTACAGACAGATGATAATAGAACAGAGGAATGCGTCATAAGTGAAATGGTGTGTAAAATTGTATACATAGTCCTGTATCCAATTATGAAATACAGCTATGTAAAGAAAAGCAATATACAAAAATGTAAGTAGAGGTAGTCTTAGGGAGGTAGGCTTTTTTTCTTTTTATATTTTTCAAAATTAAAAAAAAAGCATTATTTTTACTAGACCCCATAAACCCATAATTTTAAAACATAAATTGTTCTGGGAGCAAATCAAAGGGCATTCTGTTGGTCATTCTCTTTCTTGGGATTTAGATGCCAAAAGGATTCATTTTAATTATAAAAGATTGAAAGATGCTGGGCGTGGTGGTGCACACCTTTAGTACCAACAACTCAGGAGGCTGAGGCAGGAGGATTGTGAGTTTAAAAGCCAGTCTCAGCAACTTAGGGAGGCCCTAAGCAACTCAGCAAGGCTGTCTCAAAATTAAAAAGGGCTGGGGATGTGCCTCAGTGGTTCAGGGTCCCTGGGTTCAATTCCTGGTATCAAAATAAATAAATAAGCAAATTAAAAAAAAAAAAAAAGATGGGAACATTCTGAAGTCAATTTTGGCTTTCTGTTCCCAACCCCTCTTGGAAATGCTCTCATGTGCAGCTGAACCTGTAGACATCTGATGAATTTATAGAGTTATTGAAGGCACATTAACCATCCCCTTAGTCATTAAGATAAAACATAAATTCTTAGGAGCTTGGAATGTAGCTTCTGGTGTCCAGAAGAGCGTGTGCTTAGTGTGTACGTGGCCATGAGTTTCATCCCCACCGCAGGAAAACAAAGAAAACCCTGAGATGGTAGGACTGATTATTTTGTAGGAAGGAATTATCTTAATGCCATTATCTTAAGGATTTATTTTAATATTTATTTTTTTTAGTTGTAGTTGGACACAATACCTTTATTTATTTATTTTTATTTATTTATATTTGGTTCTGAGGATCCATCCCAGGGCCTTGCACATGCTAGGCAAGCGCTCTACCGCTGAGCCACAACCCCAGCCCCTTAAGATTTTTTTTTTTTTTAACGATATAATTTGTACAGGACAGTGAGGCCCTGTTTCAAGAAACTGGAAATAAGGAAAACAAAGTCGTTTTCTGAGAGATGTGTGTATTAGTTTGTTAGGGCTGATGTAACAAAGTTCCACAGACTGGGTGGTTTAAAAAACAGAAGTTTTAGGGCTGGGGATATAGCTCAGTTGGTCAGAGGGCTTGCCTTGCCTGCATAAGGCCCTGGGTTCAATCCCCAGCACGACAGAAATCCCTTGCCTCTGTCTTGCCTCCCAGTTCTGGGGGGTAGTAATCTGAGGTCAAGGGATCAGCAGGTGGGTTCCTTATAAAGGCAGGATCTATTCTAGGCCCTTCTCCTTGTCTGCAGGTGGCTGCATCTCAGGTGTGGTATCTGAATTTCTTCTTGTAAGGACTTTGGTCCTATTGGGTTAGAGCTACACTAAGGACCTCAATTTTAACTTAATTACCTCTTTCAAGACCCTGTCATATCCTGATATACTGGGGGTTAGGACTTTAGAATGTAAGTTTGGGGGGACACAAATCTGCCCTACAACGATGCATTGCTAAGCAACAGATGGCGGAATGCAGAGTCTTGAGGACACTTGGTTGAAAGGGCTGGAATGGATAGATCCCTGAGATGTGTGACTTTTGGAACTTTTGGAATGTGTCAGATAGCTGGGCAAAAATTAGAGGCAAAGTGGACTGTTTCCATGGGAACCTGACCCGGAAGGAAGAGCCTGTTTGGCTCTGTTGTGTCACCTGTCTGGTCCTGGCGATAAGTTTGCACTTTGGCAGAGAGCACATTGGGGGAACGTGCTTTTCACCAGATCTGGTTATGGTTTGCTGACTTCCCGGTCACATGACCGGGGGCAAGTTCAGTGACCTGTCAAAGCCTCCCCTGGAGAAATGAGAATAACAATTCCTGCCCTGTCTCACAGGCTGCTGGGAGGGAAGGGGGTGAGGGTGCCCTGTCAATTGCACAACTCTTTCTGTCCCCACCCCCCAAGCAGACAGAGCAGTGACGCTCCTCTCTCACCTGCGGCAGGTGATCACGACGCTACCCTTGAAGTTGGGTTCAGTTACAACTGCAAGGAGCGCGGAGTTCAATCCGTCTCCAAAGAGACGAGGTGGCCGAGGTGGCCGTGGCTCTTGCTGTAGAAGATGTGGAGCTGATCAAACCATTCGTGAGGCCCAAGGTCAAAGACCCCATTTATTTAGAATAGATGTTTTCTCTTTATACAAAAGTTTATAAATTTGGTAGAGAAAATTTTTAAAAAATGAAGGTTTCCCACTCTTAAAACCTTCGACTTCCTTCCTATCACGCAAACCCCTCTCAAGTGAATTACATCTTCCTGAAGTTGGGTCTTTCTTTCTTTTCTTCTTTTTTTTTTTTTTTTGGTACTGGGGATTTAACCCAAGGGTACATAACCACTGAGCAATATCCCCAGCCCTTAAAAAAATATATATTTCTTTTGATATGGGGTCTTACTAAGTTGCTTAGGGCCTCGCTAAATTGCTGGGGCTGGCTTTGAACTCATGATCCTCCTGCCTTAGCTTCCTGAGCTACTGGGATTATAGACATGGGCCACTGCACCCAGCTTCCTGAAGTTTCTTAAACTTATAAAAATATGTATGTATATATTTACCCTCCATACAATTTAGTTCACACTGCTTGAAAACTTGTTTCTAATTTAAAGATTGATTGTGAGCTGCTTCTCCAGTCAGTTCATGCACATGGATTTTTTTTTTTTTTGTACTAAGGATTGAATCTAGGGGTGCTATCTCTGAGCTACATCCCAGCACTTTTTATTTTTTATTTTGAGACAGGATCTCACTAAGTTGCCCAGGCTGGCCTCAAATCTGTGATCCTCCTGCCTTAGCCTTCTACATGGCTAGAATTACAGGCTTAGGACACCCCACCTGGCTGGATCTTAACTTTATTTTTTTTTTTTAACTGTTGCAGTGTTTTCCATAGAATGGATACATTGTACATCATTTAACAATTTTCTCATTAATGAACACTGAGGTTATTTCTATTTGGGTTTTTTTTGTTTGTTTGTTTTGTTTTGTTTTTTGATAATGGGGATTGAACTCAGGGGCACTCGACCACTGAGCCACATCCCTAGCCCTATTTTGTATTTTATTTAGAGACAGGGTCTCACTGAGTTACTTAGTGCCTCGCTTTTGCTGAGGCTGGCTTTGAACTTGCAGTCCTCCTCCCTCAGCCTCCTGAGCCACTGGGATTACAGGCGTGGGCCACCACGCCCAGCCTATTTCTAGTTTTAAAAAAATATGATAAACACTATTACAAGGAAATCTTTGCTCATGTATCTTTGAGTGCTTGTGCAAATGGATCTCTGTAAGATAAATGTTTAAGTATGAAGTGATTAGGACTGTGGGGATATGTACACATGGAAATTTTGATAAATTTTAAAAATTGCTCTAGAAAAAGTGACTATCAATTTACACATCAAACTACATGTCTGTCTTCCTTTTCACAAAAGAGACAAAGATGGGGTTGAGCTTCTAATCAAATCTAGTGTCCTTGAAGCAGTTCTGTCATTATCTTTCTAGTTATCTGTGAGCCTCATCAGTTTTTCTGGCCCTCTAACCTCCCTGTAAATAGGGCATCTAAGGGAGGCCCCTGTGAAATGGTTGGAGGCAACCAAATTCTTGGGAGAGGTCCTATGGTCATAGCTGGCCTTCCCTAAGCTCATTCATCCCCATCTCCTCTCCCAAGAATATGGCAGATACTGGCTGCATCTGATCCAGAGAGCAGACCAATGGTAACCATTAAGGCAGAGGCCCCAAAAGAATGAGAAGTACAGTTTTGAATATGTTATCCAGAATTTTCTCTTTGGAACCATCTAAAAAGAAGCAATTTTAACTTCAGCATGTAAGTTTTGCATTTTATGAGCCCACAGTGTTTTATTTTGAATTACAAGGCAACCTGTGCCATATCCTTAGGGCTGAGGACTTCTGAGGGTCTGCCAGTGTCTTACCCTACTGCCAAACTATCCCATGCTAAGTGGGTTTTGGGATTTTCCAGGCCTTTAAGAACTGGGTGGGGTGGCTTGGGCCTGTATTCCCAGGGGAGGCTGTGGTGGGGGGATTGTTTGAGCTCAAGAGTTAGAGGCCAACCTGGGCAACGTAGAGATACCCCCAACTCAAGAAAGTAAGAAAGAAAAAAAGGAAGGAAGGAAGGGAAGGGGGAAGAGAAAGGAAAGACGAGAAAGGAAAAGACCCACTAGCTGTTATGGTATTTCATTGCATGATCATTACAGATTTTATATCAAATATTTTTGCAAAAAAGTGGGCTGTGATGATTATGTGAAAAATTTCTTTAAAATTGTGCCAGTATGGGGCTGGGGTTGTGCCTCAGTGGTAGAGCACTTGCCTAGCAAGTGTGAGGCACTGGGTTCGAGTCTCAGCAACACATAAAAATAAATAAAAATAAAAAATATTGTGTCCATCTACAAATAAAAAGAAAAAAAAAATCTGTGCCAGTGTTACTTTAAAATCATTTATTACTAAACCATCTTTGCTGTAAGATTAGGATGCATGGAATACTCATGAATATGCGTTAAAATCCAGTAGTTGAAATTGACACATGTCATTTCTTTGTGACAGTTTAGTGAACATTTTTCTGGTCTGAAAAAAAAAATGAACACACTAGTTGTAATTGATTTGTGCATTGAGGTAAAAATATTACACTTGAGAACATTTACTACACTGTTGTGAAGTCGGGACTTATAAAACTTAATCTTCTGGGTCCAAAGAGTCTGTGCTATCATTGGTTTGGTTATCTGACCCGCCATCCTCAGCATCATCAAAAGATGGTTTGTCATCAGTACCACAGCACTCTAAACAAACCCTGCCAGTGGGCTTTCAAATATACTGATGATGTGTGAGTGCTGAGAATTCTAGACTCGCAGCTTACAGTGCTTAGGACAGACAGCATCCATATGCCACTGGTGACTCTGTTTGCTGCTGTGTTTACCTTTTAAGTGGTGAGAGAAACAGAATTGTGCAATGAAAGGTTACAAACCAAGTTTTGGACTGAAGGGATGTGACATTATGTGGTGAAGTATAGTATTCAAGCCCTGTTGGTTTTCTCCTCTCATTAGAAGCTATCCTGTCTCAATCAGGGCATTAACAGAGCAAAACTTTAAAGACTTTAACAAATCATTTGTTGCTTTATGTACAAAGTTCTAGAGAAACAAAAAGAGTTGTGATTTGGAAATTTCACTGTCATCTTAGGCTGTAGTACATATCCGTGCCCACAGTAAATATAAATAAATAGATATATAAGTAGGTACATAGAACTATCAATAGTTTATCTAACTATAAAATACTGTTGAGTTGAATTGAATCATGCTTGCATTCACTCTAGCCAAGGTCAAATACAAACTTCTCTGTTTCTATCATTTTCATTCCCTATGGAAAAATCTTGTTCTATGTCGTGGGTGGAAAAGTTAAAACTTGCACCATGCCCAGACCACAGGGTCACTGTACCTTCCCAGCATCACTAGGACCCTTACCATTTTATCATGGAAGAACCAGAGGATTGTGAGCCATTTCTTCCCCACATCAGCCAGGTGACAACCCAGGCTGCTTGATTGCAGACCTTGGCTTGGTCTCACTGCCTCTGTGACATCAGGCCTGCTGTCGTTGGTCCACTGCAGAAACGCCAGCTCAGCCTGTTCCTAATCTTTGTATGAACAGAGACCCTGGGTTTCACACTTTGAAAATCGATCCGGACTTTGGCCACTGAATGTCAGATGTCCCCTGGGCAATCACGGCTGCAGTATAAAGCCTTGTCATCCAGGGCCTAGGAGCAGGCCCTGGGGGACAAAGAGGCCTTTGTGGTTGTCATGGGCAGTGGGAGTTTTGTATCCTTCCCTGTGTCCCAGGCTCTCTAGTATGTCCTGACCGAGATCTGTGGGTAGCTTCTTCCTTAGGGGAGGCCCACACCCTTTGTCAGGTGCCCCAGGGCCAGAGCTGCCACTGCAGAGCCCATCCATTCATGGCTGCAGTTGTTCATTCATCCAGTGACATTCCCTTGGGCCTCACCCCTCTCCTATCCCTGTCACCCATGCTGAGAACAGAGCAGGAATGTGGGCAGGCCGGGTCCCTGCTCTCCAGGAGCTTCTGAAAGCAGGGGCTTAGTTGACAGCCACCTAGGTAATGCCCCAACCAGTTCTATGAGTGTGGCTGACCAAGAAGAGCTACAGAAACCTAGAAGTCCCATGCACACCCAGGCCTGAAGGACAAGGTGTCGTTGACCAGGTGGAGGTGTGGGGAGAGCATTCATTTAATACACATACCAGCTGCAGGTTTAGTGCTTTACAAGTCCTAACCTGTCTCCTTCTCACTGACAACCCTGTCACCAGGTACTGTTAGCATCTTCATTTTCCTCATTAGCATACAGAGCATATTTAAAACAGGGATGGAGAGGACCATCCAGGGAGTGAGAACAGTCAGACCAAAGGCGAGGTCCCCTGGTAGAGCTCTGGGATAACCCTGCTTAAGGATGTCGTTGGGCTGGGAGTGCAGCTCAGGGGCAGAGCACCGGCCCAGCAAGCATAAGGCTCTGGGTTCCATCCCCAGGATGGCAGGGGAAAAAAAAAGGACCTTTCAAGTAGACAAAAAAATAGTAGTTAGGGAGGTGGAGAGGCAGAGGCCCAGGTGTTGGAAAACAACAGAAGAGAGTGCTTCTAGAAGGAAGGAACACGCACCTGGGCAAATGTGGCCAATAGCAGGGGGGATGAGACAGCCTGAGAACTGACCGATAGCTATCAGCAAAGGCAGTTACAAAAAGTTCCAGAAAATAAAAAGGACTAAGGACCGATACTATATGATTCCTTTGAGGAATTTAATTCTAAAAGGAAAACAGGTTGATAGCTGAAGGGCAGCCCAGTTGCAAGGGATTTTGCCTTAGGGGGTAGGGTAGTGCTGATGGGGTAGAGAGAATGCACGTAGCAAGGAGTGGCTCCTGGGATTGCCCTGGGGGATGGAATCCACGGTGAAAGGGCAGGACAGCCGGTGGGCATTGCAACCTGCTGACTTTTAGTGGCAGGTCTCTGGAATATCTCCTTCAGAGCCTGCTGGGTTGATTCTTTCCCCCTTGTCCTCTCTTGAGATCTTAGCAGAGCCACCAAGAGAGGGAGGCAACATTCTTCTCTGGACACCGCCAGGGCTGCAGGCATCTTGGAACATCTGTCCCCTGGGTGTCAACAGCCTTAGCCGTGGGCTTAGGCTGAGAGGAGGGCTCTGCTGTATCCGGAGGAGATATGGGCTGAGAAGGAGGAGGGCCAGCTGCATCAGCTTGTGTTCAGGGACATTTCTCAAAACCTCTTGCTTCTCAGGAGCCCCGGGGGCTTTGAGGACTTGGACTAAGGGATTTCTGCTGTTATGTAATGGACATAGTATCAAGTCATTCAAAAACAAGTTCCCTGTGAACCAAATTCCAGCAAGTTAATTTAAAACTTACCTCACAGAATTTCCAAAGGACTAAATTGGCCAATCAGGACCCTAGGGGTGATTTACTCCTTTTCAAAAAGGTTTGAAAACTTAAGAAATGTGTAGCTCAAGGTAGCCACTGCCTGTTCTGTCCCAGAACTCCAAAGTATGTCTTCTCAGCCTGATTGTGTTTGACAGAGAAATATGCAAACAAAAAGAGGGGGAGGAACTAACTTTGGAGAGCTTTGAATGCAAAATCAGGGGATCCCCCATGAGGGAAAAATTCCTCTGGTTACCCAAAAAGAATTGGGTAAATGAGGCAGAAACATCAGTGGTATAAGACAACTAGCATGCCACAGTACTGGTTACTTCATTAACCACTTGCTCATTAACAAACAACAACAACAACAACAAAAATATTTAAGTTTTAAAAATAACATGTAGATATATCCTCCACCCCGTAACCCCCCAGAATGTCCAATTCTCTTTCCTCATTTTATTGTAGGTTGTATTGTAAATTGTTTTCCTACAAAGTAATAAAATGTAAATGTGGGTTTTAGGTATGCGAATGTTTCAGGTTGGCTGAGCATGAATTCCCAACCAGTTCTGGGTTGAGGGGCCTATGAGGAAGCTGCAGAGTGAATGGGAGGGGGGAGGGAAGGGAAAACAAGACATTCCCTATTGTTCTAGTTTGAGAAAGCCAGGATTTAGGAAGCCCTGTGATTTGATGTGAACTGGAGACCTTCAGGGGCATGTTTAGGAGTGACTGGAAGCAGTCAGCAGCCCCTAAGGAGAGTTTTTCCAGCCACAGAGGAAGACAGGAAGAAGGCAGGTGGCACAGTTCTCCACCTCTGGGGGGCTGAGCCTCACTCCTATGAAGACCCCCTGCAGATAGAGTCCAGGAGAGGGCCAGGGGCAAAGGACGTGTCCCCTGTGGAATATTGTAGAATAGGGGCCTGGTTTGGGACCCCAGTGGCCCCGAAGGCTGCTGGGAGGCCTTCCACAGGCATATTAAGTTTTTTTTTTTCAGACTCATCTTCTAAGTTACAATGGTAATCAGTGGTGAGTAAGGATTTCCTTCCAGAAATTTCTTAAAATGAAGCCATTTTTGTGAAATGGAGAAATACCTGAAACTTCAGGGAGGAAGGAAAAACTTCCCCAAAGAAGGTGACTTTGGTTTCATATTTTTGGATGGAAAAATCCAACTTTTGGTACACTTGAAGGAAGGCTGGGCCTGGCAGGATGGATGGAAGGTGAGGGGTATGTGAGGATCCTTGAGAAGTCGCCTAGGGGACCAGACAGTCAAGAAGGCCAGTGAAGTGGGAGAGAGGGTGGACATCCTGATTAACAAGAGTTTAATAATAGCCAGGAGCTTCTGAAAGCTTCAGGGAAGGTGATTTGCTTCAGAGAAGCCATTAAGGACAAGAAAGTCCTGCATGAGGGATGACCCTCAGCCTGCAGGTGACTGTGAAATGGGAAGGATGCTGAGAAAGAATCCTCAGATCAGATACAGAGGAGTTATCAGGTGAGGTGACTTAATGGAGGTGATAGCACGAAGATAAACGGGACAGCAAAGCAGTGGAGAAACCCACTGTTGCTGGTCCCCCAGGGCCTAGAATGTATGCTGCCTGACTGGACCTCCTTGTGTATCCCAGGACCCAGAATGGTGCCTCGTGAGGTTGACACTCGTGAACTATTTGTTGAATGAATGGACGGGCGAAGAAATAACAACTAAAATGTTTTTGAGTTTTCTGAAGAGAATAGTTTGTAATTCCTCAAACAGAATTATCAGGTGGTCCAGCAATTTCACACATAGGTGTACACCCCAAATGACTGACCAGGAGGTTTGAACAGATGCTTGGATACTCATGTTCATAGCAAAGTTATTCACAATAGACAAAAGATGGAATCAACTATCCATCAACTGATGAAAGAATAAATGAAACGTGGTATAGTCATACAATAGAATATTATCCAGCCTCATCAAGGAAGGAAATTCTGATCCGTGCTACACAACATGGTTGGACCCCGAGGACATGACTGCTAAGCAAAATAAACCAGTCACCAACCAAGGGACCATGAATCCACTTGTATGAAACATGTAGAATAGTCTGATTCATAGAGGCAGAGTAGACTAGGGGTCAACAGGGGCAGGGAAAAGAGAAGAATGGAGAGTTATTGTTAAATGGATATAGAGTTTCACTTTGGAGAGATGAAAAAGTTCTGAAGATAGATGCTGGTGGTGAAAGAGGCAGCAGTCTGAATTTACTTAACTGCCACTGAACTCAGAAAATGGATAAATAGTAAGTTCAATGTAACATTTATTTTACCACAATAAAAATGGCGGAAAAATCATAACCCTGAAACACGGAACAAACAAGATGCATGGAGCTCACAGAACATGCTAGAATCTTTCCTAAGCGCCCCCCCTGCCCCCCGAAACTTTCATTCATGTAATTCTCACAATCACCCTGTGAAACAAGTACTATCATTTCCCCAACGAGTGCCAGGTACTTTACACGTATGGTTTCTTATGGGGAAAACCCTGTACTGTGGGTTAGTTACTATGTTCATTTCATAGATGCAAAATTGAGCCCTAGAGATGGGAAGACACACAGCTGGCAAGGTGACTGAGCAGGCTGACAGCTCAGGGTAGGGTGAGCCCAGAAGCCCCCTGGTTTCCTTACACTGCATTGTCTCTTGCAGCCAGAAGGAGGAGAATCAGTGGTGGGCAGAGTTCAGCAGAGGGCATGTATTAAGCACCTACTGAATACTCAGTTTTGTACTTAGTAACTAAGAAGACCAGAAAGGTAGAAAACGCTAGTGTTGCCCTCATGGAGGTTGGGGTGGGGGGGAACGTGGGTCAGCCTGCCAGCACAGAACCATCTCAGATTGTGATGCGTCCAAAGGAAGAGAGTCAACGTGGTGAGGTCCATGGGAAAACTTCTGTGGTAGGGGCTTCCTAAGAGGGAGTTGTTTGGCACACACCACATGCTAGGCGGCAGAAAAGCCCAATTGTGTAACTATGAATAATGCTAACCAAACTCACAATCCCTTGTCCGCAAGTCTAAAATCCACAGATCTCAGAAAAACTTTCATTTCTCTCTCTTTCTACCTTCCTCCCTCCCTCTCTCTCTCTTTTCATTAATTTGACACCAAACATGTAAATGTGACCTGAACTGGACTTGCTATTTGCAGTCTCCAAAAACAATGTTGGCACATTGGGTTCCTCATTGTGAATGGTGTAAGCATCATGGGTGGTAAGATCGGCATCCAAGGGGCTAGATGCTAGAGATGGTTTATGTACCATATTGCCCCCTAAAATAAGGAAAATTCTGATATCTGGCCCTCAGGGACTGGGCTGCTGGGCTGTTAATCTCACATGACAGACCATGTGACACAGGCATTCTGTCAAATGCTATACCAACATTAACCCGTTTAATCCCTATAACCGTTTAATCCCTACCCTGTCTACAAGACAGGGCCTATTATTATTCCCATTTTATAGGTAAGGAAATGGAGGCCAGAGAAAATAAATAACCTGGTTTCTAAGTGATGGGGCCAGGCTAAACCTGAGGTCTCCCTGTCTGCATGAGAGCATTGCCGTGACAGCCTTGGTGAGAGTGGCTTTAGGATCCAGGTAAAGATGGAGTTGGACTGTGGAGGCACAGGAGGAAGAAATGGACCCCAGCGAAGGGTTATCCATCTGGGTGTTGGCAGGGAGAGGAGGGCAGGTAAGGGTCAGAAGTGACATCCCAGATCAGGTGGGCAGCCAGGCTTGGAGGCTACAGAGGGGTTGGATTTTTCAGGTGAGCCTCAGCTCCCTGGGGAGGAGGCTAAAATTTGGACAGGACAGGGCCCTGGAGGCCTGGTTCTCCAACCCTGGCCTTTAACCTGTCATGAACTCCCAGACATCAGAGACACCATCAGGCCTATAGATATTCCCCTTTCTATCGAAAGAGGAAGCAGCCACAGAAGATCCCCTCTGCCCACTCTATATGGTCTGAAGAGGAACCTGGATGTGATTTGGAGTTTTTGAAGAAATCTTGCTTTGATGTGGTCCAATCCAACTTCTTTATTTGCTGGCCAGACAGGGACTGTGGGAGGCGATACCCCAGTGGGAACCGACTCAGGGGACTGTATCGTCTAGGGACCTCCAAGAAGGGGTTTCCCAGCCCTGGCCTTGTGACTCCTCAGTGACTCAAATTATCTCCAGAGCTGCTGAAACCTTCTTAAGGCAAAATTTAAATACTGAAATAAACATTCTACCAAAATAAACCCATGGAAAAAAATAAGCCTATACCAACCAGTATTTTTTTGGAGTAGATGGGGAAAGAGAATTATAATCTTTTTTTTAAAGATGTCAGTTATTCTAAAAATGGGTAATCAGGCAGTGCACAGGGGAGCCCTGGGTCTGGTCTTAACTCTCCTCGCTATATTACATTGGACATGCCTAACAATGGACTTGCCATGGTTGCTGGGAGGATCAGGCAAGCTAGGGTCCATGATCAGGGTCTGAAATCATAAAGTGAGATGGAGAGAGGATGGGCGCTGCCTGCTCATCACCCTTCAGCAGAAAATATTTCTTCTCATCTGCTTTGATTCTGCTTTCCGATGGAGAGGAACCTAATATGTTTCATTCTGGGCTCCTTATTCCCACACTTCTTTCCCAGCCTCAATTTCCCTTTTAGTCACACTAAGCCAGCCCATGCCACAATGACAAGGAAGACCCTAAGTTTCAGTGGCTTAAACAACTAAATTTTTTTTCTTCCTCTGATAAGAATGGACAAAACTTTTCCCATCTTGTAACCATGCCATCCTGTGTGTGGGCAATAAGTTCACAGTGGCCTGGGACCTGAATGATTTGGGCCCAGAAGTGACACATGTCATTCATATTCCATTGGCCACAATTTTTCAGATGATTCCTCCCTAACTTCAAGGAAGACTGGGAAATGCAGAGGAGCACATGGATTTTTGGTGGACACAGAGAGTCTGTCCCACAGCATCCTCACCTCTAAAATGTGAGGGTTGATCTGAATGGTCTCAAAGTAGGCATCACCCAGCTCTGGTCCTCTTAAGGGGGTGCCCCTCCCAAGTCCCAAATATTTCCAACCTATGAGGCCGAATGGTTTCAGGTGACCCTAGATCGGCACAAAT